TAACCTAACCTATTTTTAAAGCGATGTGTCCCGATATTCCACAAGTACCCTAAGTTTATATAACTTTGAATGATAAGATGATAAGTAAATAATGAATCAGAAAGGATGCAGATAGAAGTGTCCATTACCTAACTAAAGGTACTATTCCCTGCGTTTACCTGTCGTCAGTGAGAAAAAGTACAAAATACTGTCAGAGAGAGCGCAGCCAGTCTCCAGTTTGATATCTGAACTAAAGAATATGAAACGAGAGTGCTAACCACTTGACCAATGATACACCTAGGTCAGGAGAGCTAGTCTCTGTGCCAAAATATGAACCCAGAACCTCTTAAACATAAATACAGAGTGCTAACCAGTTGGCCATGATGTTCAGTCTTACTTTTATAATTTGGTGTTTCATTACATCAGTGTTTCCACAGACTAAGAAACTTAATGAATTCTATTAGTAAGACAAATGTAGCCTCAACACTGCGAAAGGAGGATAATTCATGTCATAATCAACATTACGATCACTAATATGACTATTACACAGGACTTGAAACAGACTCAATACAGATTTTATGATGTGTATAAAGCAACAGAATTTTGCTTCAGTATCTATTGGAAAGTCAAGAACAATTTCAGACAGTGGGTCAGAAAGGACTGGATAAAAAGTTGACATCTAAATCAGGGTGGTCCAACTTTCTTCTTACCTGAGGTCAAGATTAATTTTCCTTGGATCTGGCACTATTTTTTTAAAATCAATACCCAATTTTCATTATCTTTAAAAATACTTATTTAGTATAAGCTAAAATATAAATTAATTCAAATGTGTTAAATTACATATTATTTTAAATTTGCTCCTGCAACAGCTTGTCATCTGGCAGGCTACCGGTTGGATCATGCCGATCTAAACAAACAAATTCTACAATTTAACAAGGGTTAAGAAAGGGTACATTTAGTTTTACATAATTTTTAAGCTCACTAACTTTTGAAATGATGTGTTTACTCATTCACAGACAATCACATCTTCACACATTTTTTTTTCCAGATCCAGTATATGAGAAATTACAGAAGTGTGACCTTTTTTTGGATACTTCTAATTCCTTCAAGACATTTCCAACAGTCCACGATGCAGTTACATTTGCACAGTGCAACATGAATAGATCTGCTAGTATCAGGGTGTGATTTTGATAAAATGACAATCCTCAAAGAAGAAACAGGACTGTAAGTGCTGTAAGTGGTGCTGATTAGCAGTAAAGCAAGATACTCAATTCAAGTGGAGTTACATAAAGAGAATATTCAAAATATTCAACTGGCCCAGTCTATGGAGTGTGAAAAATGTTCTAGCATTGGAGACAAAATAGAAGCAAAATCTGAAGCTTACATTTCAGTACTCTTGTAACAAGAAAATGTTAGTCAAGGTAGTAACTTAGGATAACAAGTTTTGTATGCTCACAAAGCTTGTTTAGATTGCTGAACTCATTCTCACTCATTGGAAAATGTATCAAGCTTTAAGAATATGGATGTGCGTACAACACGAAAGAAAGCATTACCTGGACTATAACAGTTCATATTTCAAGGTCATATGAACTCCATAGTGTATCTACAGATTAAGTACTTTGTCTACATGAAGACTGTATGTTAATTATACCATGTATTAACATTCTTAGTGATAACCTACATAATTATATTATGCAGGTGCCCGATAATACCTAAGAGGAATTTGGTTTATGTGAACAAGAAAACGATTTAATAATGTCAAAATTTAAAGTTTTCACAGTGTTTTTAGTAATATGATGACTTTTGGGTTGTCAGCCGTGTCAGTTGAGCTGGGGAATAAACCGTCAATGTTTTGAGAACTATGCTGTTCTCATCCTCAGGGCACTGCTGCGGCTGTAGAAGCAGGTCGCAACTAATGTGATTGCTCGAGCCTTGTGTAGGAAAACAATTTTTGGCAAACTAAACTTCACAACAATAGTATGTATGATCTGAGCTTTCAAGGCAACTAAGTATAAATAATTCTTCTTGGGCTACTAGACGTGTAAGGTGGTTTAATGGAGAATACCTGAGGGTGATGACGAAGATGGTTCTCGAAATGTTGTGTTTTCTTCATTAAACCACCTTACACAGCTGGTAGCCTGAGAAGAATTTATTATAATTGAATATTATCATCTACAAACTACTCTTTGAAACGAGATAACTGGTTTGTGGTCTGCTCATTTACTTTTCCATATCGCCAGTTTTCATTATTCCAAAGGGATACAAAGTCATACCCATAGAGGAAAATTAAACACGTTTGGGAAATTCATAGGATGCCTACTACCATTAAATACTTCTATATGCATGCAAATGGTAACATTTTATCAATTGCTGACTTGGCAGTACTGTAATTCACTATCTAATGTTGTTAGCCATAACCTCAAAAATTCACAAAATCAAGCTAACTGTAATTTTTAACACACAAAAAAATTGTAGTTTTTTATAACCATGCTAAATTACATACAAAAGTTTCAAAGAGAAAAGTAAATGCAGAACTTATATCATTCTACACAAAAAATATCTGAATGAAGGTTGCATAGCTTCAGGATCCATAATTTGAGGAAGTTAGCATTGCTTCCATTTCATAAATTCACATATTTGCAATATTAGAAACGTTGTTAAGGATTTAAAATGTTCAAATATGGAATGACACCTAATGGCATAATATTCATACTAAGTCTTATGGACAAAAACATAAACAACAAATTAATATTTTATGGTCTGTATAATAAAGCAGTCACATGAAACAGCAGAACTTTGTACAGTTAAAGAGTAAAATAAATGTGTAACATGATGTGGGGAAATTTTATGTTGTGCAAATGTTACACTTCTGGAAAATGTGCTAAAAATTTTCATGTATTGCACTGCACTATTGCAGAATAGATCATGAAAGATCACCTTGATAGACTTCAGAAAATACATTTTTTCATGGGAAAGAAGAAACTCAGAAAGTTTCTAGCACAAAAGTGTTAAAAAAAGGATGTGACTAAAATATAACAGCAGTTAAGAGGAAGTGGAAAAAAAAGTTACCTGTCATTATTATTGATAAGATGAAGTGCTCAGCACACAATGACTGATCCTATGTTCAATGTCCCTCATATTTTATGTGCATCATTGTTAAGTGTTCTGTACTAAACATTTTTACTGTTTTGCCCCAAATATTTGTATTTGAACAATAATTTATGAATAAATATTTAAATTTGTTTCAAATAAATGCTGTGCATTTATAATATAAAGAGGTAATAGTTTTTTAGTATGATCTCCAGTTCTTATATACCATATATTCAGCTCAATTCTGAAATTTGTGACGATGGCGCATTGTTGAAGTAAACTGTTTTTTGGATATTATCCATCATCCAATACTAAATAAAATCAATAAAAACCATGATGTATCGGATATGGGAGTCTATCTCCGCCTTCAGGTAAAACCTACTCTGTTGGGCCCAATCGATAGAGCTATGCCCTATCTCTGGTCTGGAACCCTTTTGACAAGAATTTTATGTCCAATTCTTCTGACCTAGAATCCCATCTCCGAAATGTCGTGGTTTTTATTGATTTCATTTAGTCTTGGACAATGGATAATATCCAGATAACAGTTTATTTCAACTATATATTCAGTACAATAAAAAGCATCTGGTAAAGTCTGTTAAGTATGATTACTTTCTCTAAGTCACTGAATATATTTGTTTAATGCATTCAATGCTTGTCATTTCAACCCTTTTGACAAGAATTTTATGTTCTTCTGACAGTCATCATATGGTATATCAGAAGGCACAATCAATGGCTCAGAAGGTGGTTGCCATGATAACACCTTCACTTTCACATTAAATAAAAAATGTTATTCTACAAACATTCCAAATATAAGCTAGGGCAGTCAAAAGACATCAACAGCTTCACTGCTGTGACAACCTCAAATCTAATATAAATAAATGTTTATAGAGCATGGTATAAAAGTCTGTTACACCACAAACAATCCTCAAATTCTCTAAATTAATTATTTCACATATATACTTAGCTTCTGAATTTCTACTGATGAAAGTTCACCACAGTTGCATTTAAATTAAGAACTGAATGGAAAAACTTGCACATGTTAGTCATAAAAAAATACCAAAACAAGAGTCTTCTTTGATAACACAAAACATGTTCTCTGTCACCCTGTTGTGTATAAAAATGAGGCTACAAAGAACTTGAATACAGCAAATTTACAATTTGAAATAATTCAGTGTTCTGATGAAGTCCAAAGCCAATACATAATCAAAAACCAGTCCCTTATGAGTAAACAACATACATTTTGATGGGCATGGGTTCAAATCTTGGCTAAAGGACCTGATATCCTGTCTGGTTTTCCTCAGTTCCTCCAGGCATATACTGGTAGAGTACAGTGCGTCTACCTGAAAGGTTACACGTTTGTAACATCCCAGCAACCGACAGGAACTGACCCATAACCAAGCACAATATTTTCCTGATACGAGTGAAGTATCGGTCCATTAAAACAATAAAATCAACTTACCTAAGTTGTAAGAGGTGCTGAAAACGATGTCCCTGAACACGTTCTTTGTACCACTTAAACGCGTTGAAATTCGCCGCTTCGTCTGCTGACGATTTTTGTGGAAAGCGTATCAATGATTTGGTGTGTTCTAACCTTGCCCTTCTTTCGTCTAGTTTTTCCTCGGTAAGAATACGGATGTATGTCATGCTTCCAACTGTGACCCTGGGAAAATTACGACGAAATTGTCTCCACTATCTAGCAGAACCGCATTTCACATACGATGTTCAACACTGCATCGAACCATATCCACTCACATTATTCAATACTAAACACAGTGTCGGACAACTACACTGAGAGCTGGGCGAAGTCATACAGTTCCCGCCAGGAACCGCGAACAGGGTTCCGTTAACCATATCAGCGATTGCACGTATTAGGATACGAACATCATTAAATAACCCACAATAAACAAACACTTCAAAATACTCATAAAAATTGGAAATGATTTAACAACTGTCTACTGTATTCACAACAGTGTTGGATATGAATGCCACTTATAAATACTTCTCCATTTATACCAACATACATCTGACTAACCCTTCAAATATAATCCTACTAGGCAGTGGAATATCTCAGCCTGGGATGAAAACAGTGCAACACGAAAATTCCCAAACTCTTGCTCTTCACAATCTTTTCAGAATTTAAATATCCTCGTCATTCACTATGCTCCATAACCTATTAGACTACACCTATACAAATTTCACTGATTAATTACATTCATACTTTTCAGTAATGTTTACAAAATTATGGCAAGTCCATATTTCAAAAAATATATATATAAATAAAAAAGCCCTCTAAATACTGTATGAAGATTGAATTATTGAAGAAGAAATTATAAACATTTTCAGTATTGTTAAATTACTTAACAACACACTGTGGAGATTGATGGTCATATGAACACACAACAAAAATTGACCCTCTGAAGCCAAAGTTTGTACAAATAAAGTTTAAGAATTCAGTCTATACCTCAAAGAATACACAACACCTCACCACTATAAAGATCACTTGGTTAATGCTGTTTAAGGAAATAATCCCTGTTTACACTAAAAATCATACATAACCGATTAATATAAAACACCGAGTTACAGACTGTTAAAGCAAATGGTACATATAAGCCTTGTTGCCACTGAATTAAACAAATTGACTCCACATATCTGACAAAATTTAATGACAAATCAAAAGGCAACTCAGTTTTATAACAGGAAAATACGTGGTTAGAAATTTGGCATGGAACATCAAAGAGAAAAGGAACCAACTATTCTGTCACATATGATTTATTTTCCTTTCTTTGGCAATGAAAACATAGACAAGGATAATGTTTCACTATGCCCAACTACTCGGTAAGAGTATATCTGAACCTTTGGACTTATTTCCACTAAATGGGTCATAAGACATTCTACTTTTAAATCCACAAACAATAACAGGATTATTATGTTACCTTTATCAAAACTAATTTTGACATAAATGGAAAATACATGTTGCCATCTGCTTGAGCTATTTATGACCACAATATACTCTCCAGTATAAAGCATCATAAACAACACTGACATTTCCAGTAAAAGTGAATAAATTTCAACCTCTTTACACAATCTTACAATAAGAATAAAACACATGGTTCAGTGGGTCTTCATAATGTCATACTGTTATGAATATTAGAACCAACTCCACAAACTAATGATGTTCTAGCATTTGGTATATTAAGATTTTACTTTTACTGGCGTATGTTCTTAGACTCTAGTAATAATTACTCTCAAGATTCAATGTCTTGTCTGGCTGAAAGTTTCTCACTGCACATATGAATCAAAGTCACAGATTATATAAATGTTTATTTCAGATAAAAACTAATTTTGGTCTTCTTAAAAGAACACTAAAATTATGAACTTTGAAAATTTGCAACCACAATACCATCTTGAAAGGTGTCATATTGCTGTCTCAATATGTTACAAAGACATACCAACATCTGTAATTTGCCTTGTATCAAATATTGTTCAATAACTATGATAGGGGCAGAGGTTTTTCCCTTAACCTCTGTGTCCAGACCAGCTCTGGGGCCAACCCAGCCTATCTAATGGGTACCAGGGTCATTTCCTGGGGGGTAAAGCACAGCTGGGGCATGATACTAACCACTCACCCCCTTCTCATGCCAAGGTTAAGAATGAGTAGGAGATATACCTCCTCTCCCCTAAGTGCCAACATTGGCATTTGAAGAGATGGCTTTACTTTACTTTTACTGCAAGCAAATTAGCTATTTCCTGTTTCAAACTGAACAATCTAGTACATAATATAAAATCATTATCAGTTACTTTATATTTAATTGCTAATCCTCTGTAAGATACCTAACGGCACCTTTACATTCTACTGTACAGATTTAAAACCAGTGGCATACAGCAAATGGATGAATTCTGCTACTACACAGGAAAATATAAATGCATGAAACACAAGAATCAATTCTACAAACAGGTGTGGATTAATTAATAATTTGATTTTATGACTTACTGCTTTTGGTCCCACCTTACCATGTTACTCCAACAGATTTCACTTACATGATACAACACTTGCACAAATAAATACTGAGACACAAACAAGTATATCACACATTCAGTTAAAAAATCTTTGGTAAAAACTATTGTGAAATGTACATTCATATTCATATGTTATCACCATAATTCATTTTGGGTACTAGGATTTCAATCTTTCTACATTTCACACAATCTCCATATTTCTATCTAATTTACAAGTTAACCCACTGTTTCTTGTTTGACTGTATGGTCTCACCTGCAACCTTGTACTGAAATAGTCAGAATAATAGTTGTTAGAAAACCAAATTTCATAAAAATACTTTGGTACAAAACAAAATTATATTCAGTCAAATCTTTAAGATATAAACATCTGGATCAATAAAGGGTGGCAATCCTTTTTCAAGTGGGAACAAGTACTCAGTAGATAAAATATTCACCAAACCTTTGATGAATGAACCAAAAGTAACCAAAATTCACTAAGCATTCATGTGTCCAGGCTAACTTAACAAAACAAAAGTAACAAAATCCCCTTTTTTAACAGATCTTGAACTTAATGTCTCTACACTGGCAATTCCATGGGTATATCATATAGAAAGCTGCCCGAAATCAAAACTAGTACATCAGTACAGCAAATTACTTTACATGCGCTATCCATTTAAATACATCAAACTCATTTTCCTGGTTCTGAACAGGGGTGTGCTGCAGGAGGCTTATGTGAACCCTTTGTTAATTTTAGGTTAATTGTCTAAGCCCTTTGTTATCAACAGAGAAATTACTGCCTTTATTCTAAATTACTTAATTTAATTAAATTATTATTACAAAGATATTGATGTATTCAGTAGCAAGTTGCCTTTGTATATAAATGTCCTCTACTCTCATAATTTTTTGATAATCTATTTATTTTGCTATATTTATTATTGTGTTCTTTTCTTGTACTGTATCTGTAATTGGCCTTCTGTCAAACTGAAATGAATTGAATATCAGATTATACAGGTGATAATACAAGTATCAAAATACTGATACACATCTACAATCATGTATTAATATATCTTACCCATCCCTACCTCCAAATGCCAAAATGAAAACAAAACAAAAAATGAAATAGTTTGGTGATGTGAGCCCCCTGTTAACAAATGAGCAACACACCCCCGATTCAGACTTAATTAAAACCTACAATGATACATTTCCTATAACATACAAGACAGATTCCTTTTAATGTTATGCATTACAACAATTACTGAATGTTGAAGATATAAGTTCTATACCAAAGGAAGCACTTGGAGCACTGCACAATCATCACATCAGAAAGAATAAAAATGATCACGATATGCCACTGCTGGATACTTTTCATCACATTCATTGTAACGTAATAATAAATGTTTCCATTTCTTCTTTCACTTAAATTTAACTTCCCATTTCAATTATACAGTATGCACTATAGGAGATGGTTGTCTTCTGGGTTGCAGCACTGTGCAGTCTGGTAGAAGTTTAGAAGGATTTGAGCTTTTCACAGTGGTGAGCCCATAGATAGCTGTCTTCAGGTCCTTCATGCCTCCATCATTGGAGTAATTGTCCTGATGATGGAGGCAGCAAGAAATGTTGGTCAACTTTTACCAGACTACATGGTGCTACTATCCAGAAGACAGTCAGTCATCTTTGTACTCACGGCCATGAGAACCTCAAATCCTACTTAGTATGGAATATAGTGTATGACACAAGCTACTGAAAAAGTGTCATTAAACAAACTATAAAATAAATAAAAATAGTATAAAACGCTCCAATTTCTAACATGATTGAGGACAAATCTTTTTAATTTAAATCTAATATTCAGCTCAACTACTATATATATTATGGACCATAGCACAATCATGTCAGTGCAGCTTTATTTCCATGCTGAAAACTGGAAGCTTCACATACATGAAGATTGTTGTCTTCTGGGTTGTTGCGCTGTGTAGTCAGGTAATGTCTACCAACGTTTCAGAGGTCACGCTGCCTCCGTCATCAGGGCAGTGGACATCGACCAGACTACACGGCACAATAACCCAGAAGACGGCAATCTTCAGACTCACCGCTGTGAAAACCATAAATCTTTATACACATGTACTGTATGTTGTACTTTAGACTGTCCATACAATATATATATAATTTTTTTTAAACATAGGATTCAGGTTAATGTCACAACAGACATTTTCGCTTATATATTCAACCACTTGTTCCTCATCCAATTGCACCTGATGCCCAGTCAAGCGCACAGTATATATTCACCACATAAATTTAATTTATTTATATACATGTAACATTTATTCATTCAGTTCTGTACAAAAAGTAAGGAATGTGGTAAAAGAGTGAGATGTTGAATAAAATTACAAAATAGCAGCAAGTGGCAACTAAGATGCGTAACAAATTTTACAAGTCACCTACAAATAAAGCAAACAATTTTAAAATTTTACCTTCAACATATTCATTCAAAGCTTAATTAATGCCAACATATGAATAAAATATAAAATGCAGTATAATTAACATTTTATTTAATGCAGGATCAAAGATTAGAATAAATTAAATCTTTCATATCCTGGGGTTAAGCATGGTAAAATTAAAACCAAAAAGGACTTTCAAATTGTTCATGACATCAATTTTCCTTAATTCTGTGCACCTTCATTTATTTTTGCAATGACAAAGAACAGGATAGGGACCAGTAGCAGGGTCTTGTGAAAATGGTAATGAACCTTCAGGTTCCATAAAATGTTGCAAATTTCTTGAATGGGTGAGTGACCGTTGGCTTCTCCGGAAGGACTCAGCTCCATGGAGTAAGTATGTATGACAATTTTCTTCAGCAAAACCACGTCTAATATTAACACAGGTTGAAATGTGAGTTTGGACAAATGTTGGTCACCGTTAACACTTTCAACAAATCAAACACCCAGAAAAACAATGCAATTCTAAAATTATAGCCTTTTTATGAATATTTTTATGTATTTGCATTTGCATGAAAAGGCTTACTACTATCTCTGGTGCATTTAGCCGAAACATTTGTAAATAAAATCTCACAAATTACAAAAGTAAAGGGTTATATGCAGAAGTATAAAATTACAAACATTATACAAATCCACACACACAGTATTGCATTTGTCGGTTAAAGTCGGAAAGTCGATCTGCTCCAAAGCTTAGTTATGGAAAGATCAGTATATTCTTAACACCTATTTGCCTGAAACCTTTCAAACAAGTTTCAACTCCTTTCTTGGTAGCAATAAAGTGACTGGATATGTTACAGCAGTGATTTTTATACTAGATACTACTTAAGACTGACCACTTTAGGTCAAAATGTTGATTGGACAATCAGAAATTCTGAATGTTTTTATTTATCTGCCTACTGGAAAATAAAAAATAAATGTCATGATCACTTTCATACAATTTTCCCTAACCAGTGTTAACAAAATTATACAAGAAAAAATAGCAGCCCTTAAGACTCTACTGCACTCACAAAAGTGAAATTTTCATACCTAAGTGTTCTAATTTCATTTGGTTCCAAATTTCAAAGAAACTACAGACTCTGAAACATTACTTGTTTTATTAATGAAGTTCTTAAGTTGCTTACTATAAAACATGCCTCTCATAACCTCCAATATCATTTGCAAAGCCATCAACTTCAGCAGACATTGAGGTTATGGTGTAATGTGTACCAGCTACACCTCTGAAATCTCTTTTTTTATGCAGATGAAAAAAATGGTTTATCTTTGGAGAGAGAGAGAGCACAATGCAAAAAGACAGAAGAATACATCTTCCTTTTCTAGTGTTTCGTATGTAACAATGCAAAAGATACTGACCGGTTGAAAAAATCAAAGACACTTTTGTTTCACCTTTGATGTACCTGACCTGTAGCTCATGTCATATGAATTTTCTACTGTTCCTTTTGGTATTTCAATATTTTTGCTTCTATGGCTGAACTTTAGCAGACTGCACATAACACAGACACACAAAGCCACAAGATCAACTGTGAACTCAATACAATGCCAACACACAGTTGATCAAACCACAGCAGTATGAAAAACAAACAGTATTATGCATAATAAATAGTGACAGAAAAAATACATTGGGGGGAAAGGGGGCACATTAGTTATTTATACATTAAATTTCAACCAACATCTGTTTATCCATAATGTCATATTCCAAATTTATGGACTGGAAGGTGGGGTCTAGTAATTCTGACTGTCAGTTAAATTGCATAGTTGTTTTTATGATGCCACTAGGAATACCATTAAATATATTAGTAATATTAACTGGTTACCTACAATGACACAAGGTTCATTAAAAAAGTGTAAAGAGATAATTAAATGCAAAAAAACAGAATCGTCATAGCAAGTCATCTTCAGTTTTAATGGACATCAGACGGTGCCCATTCAATCCAAAATCTGTTAAATCGAGGTCCGTTAAATCAAAGGTTTACTATATTAGAATTACATGGAGTGTTCACTGAAATGGGGGATTATGGTGCTGGAAGCATTAAATACCACACTTTGGTAGCAAACATATTAATGCAAAACCAACAAAATTCTTAGTTGTCATTTGGTAACTTGATTCAATCAATGCACACACATCACTCACAGAAAGCCTGTATCATCGTTTACAATTCACACTTACACAAGACCAAATCACAATTTTAACAATGACACATAATTCTCTAATACTCTACAACTGAAGGTTAAATGGGATTTAATATACAGATTCATACAGGGTATGAAAACTCGAAATGCAAGTGTTAAACCAGAGAAATGAATTATTATCATATATGTACGTAATAAAAAATTGAAGAAATATTAACACACCCACATGGAAACATACTGTCAGGTATAAACATGTAACAAAGATTTGAAAACTATGCTTAAGATGAACATGAATCTGATTAATTACATACTTCTTACAATCATTTTCAAACACCATTATTTGTCAATTGCGACTAGTTCAAATTTAATACACTACAGAATCAAATGTACTTCACAAATGAAAGCATCATTAATCCATGTATAAAATACTGCCCCAACTCAAAACTGAAAATGGATATAACACTAATACCAATTTTAAAATTCTTTTAGTCACACTCATTGCTTACATCAGGCATTAGTAAATTTTATAGTAAGACCTAGTGTCCACACTTATAGGTGGTACCAAACAAAGAAACTTTCTTTTTAGTAAACTCAACCAACTGTGAAAAACTATCTTTGAACAACAATATGTAAAAGTAGTAAATTTAGGTGGAAAATAATGAATCCAACCAAGCCCACTGTTGTACAACACACGACTCTCCATAGTTGTAATGTCTCATTCAGATATATACAAATTTATACACTTCACCTCCAGGTTTTGAAAAGCAGTACAGAAGTGTTCATATCTAACCAACATTGAATTCAACAAAGATAATATATAGCATTAAGTTTTACAGCAAATAAATTAGGGTTAACAAATTACAGACTTAAGAACATGTGTCCCAATTACGTTCAGAGTAATAACTGTTGCACAAAGTTCTGAATCAAACTATACTGTGGTTAGTAAGGAAAATAGTTAAGGAATACAATCCAACAAATGACACTAGGACAAAGGAGAGCCATGGAGCACAACACCGAAGACAACAACCTCAGATACAAACAGGCGATCCAACTGGTATGGCTGTAATACCACGCATGCTATTAACCTCAGTAAGAGCAGCAGACTATGGCCAGCCGAGAAGAGTATCAACATGTCGAAACTGCTGTATGACGACCAAGGATGAAATGTTCTGGGCATATACCATATTCCATGTGAATGTTCTAAGGTGTATGTTGATGAACAGATGGGACGCACCACAAAAGGCAGATTCAAAGGACATAGTTCTCACATATGCCTTCACCAACCAGACAAATCCAATGTAGCAGAACACAATACAGAAAGAAACCAGAGAATACATGTTAAAATGAAGATAGGTTACCCTATTAAGATGAGCCTGAAACCCGTCACGAACAGCTCCACTGATGCCCAAAGTTCAGCAACATTCAGTCAGAACAACACCAGATGGGTCATTCCAGCTTGGCTTTCCAGATGCAGTAACACGTTTGCACCATCAAGCTGATGTACAAATATGAGTTTACTCTTGACTCTACCCATTATCCTTCCATCCTTTACGTGACAACTGTTCTTGAAGAAGGCGGAGCCTCAACGGATCTGTATAAACAGCATGTACACTTGATATCATGCTTTGGCGACGAAGACAGTCTCCAAAATACTGGACTTCTACTCAGAACTAAAGCACGTGATCACAAAAGATTTTATTACGAGGCGCGTCCTCAAAGTAAGTTTCCCACTCGTCCCACAGCTAGCAAACCTTATATTGAGCGAAGCGACTGTGCGTACGTGATAGAGCAATGACGTAGCATGGCACATGCACTAACGGTACTTCCCGCGTTCTCACAGTAGCATCGTTGCAGCTGTTGAAGATGGAGGTTCTTATTCCAGCTCCCGCCGACTGTGAAGTGC